GAGTATGTGCGCAAATTACGCCTATGTGTGTGCAGAAGCAGAGCTTTTTTCTCGTTTACTGATGTGGATTTCAGGTACATATTGATTTGATTCATTCTCGTCATACTCATATTCACCCGCAATTCTTGCTTCTGTTTATCGTAGGCAAGAACTGGCACTTCTTAATCATTTTCAAGACTAATTACCTGTGTTGCTCCACTTCCGGTATTTGAATGGCGAAGGATGTTTTCAGGCTACGACATGTGGGCCCGTTTTCTGATGCTGGTGAGATTTTTTAAGTAGTCTACAAGAACTAACGTTAGAATGTTGAGCGATCGTATTGATTAATAAAAGTTTAAATTTCTTAAAATTCTTAGTTTTTCAAAACTTTTCCTGACCAAAATCAAATGTTAAAACTATGCTTTCCTAGCCTTTGAAAGCAACGAAGTGCTATGCAAAAACGAAGGTTTTACTCATGCGCCTTTGGAATATATTCACTTTTGCGAGTCATATTCCATTTTTCAAATCATGTGGATAGAGTTATATTCTGGCTAGAAGATAATTGATGAGTTGATGCAAAGAGACAAGAAAACTATAATTTGCTCTCCGACGCTACTCGTAAATTTTCAGAATGCAACTTCTGGACTCTATATAAATTGTCGCTATTTAAATGCGAGAACCTAGATGACCTAAGCACGAATAAGGACCTCAAAATTGAACTTAAATTTATATTTCACCTGTAAGGTCTTGAGATCCGTGGTTCAGTAAATGGAACCGCGAATAATAGCAATATGATGGCGTCCCATTCGTGTCCAGAATTTTTTTTATTTTAAGATAGAGGGCAGTAATATCATCGCTTTAAGTGAAAGCTAAACAAACATGTTATGAGAAAAACGTCGGTACTTATTTGTCACTGAATTTTTGCTTGCCTATCAACTCCCGAATTGGTGAAGCTGGAACTTGTGCTAACACGCAGCCGATGATAAATCTGAAAGTTCGATGATCACGAACGCCTTCCGGAAAATTAGACCACAATCAATACAATTAATACCATTAAAGCATGCTGTGTCCAATGAGACATTTGGACAGATTATCTAATCAGGTGTACATGGGAAATCAGCGATGCTCAAAAAGCACTATTCACATTCCAAACCTATGTCCAAAAGTCATAGATTAGATAAAAGCAACTTAACGCTTTGAAGAGCAACTGCTTAATTGTTGGTTCTCAAGCTTAAAGACAGTGTAACTCCAAGCTTTTTGGAAGACCGTCCCAAAGCTATCATACATTTCGTATTTTATATAGTATTGGCAGACATAGTTCACTATCGGAAACGGGTGACTTTGACTATGTCTCTGATGGCAAATCCGCGACGGACCTCGAAACATCCGGCGAATAAAAGTATTGTCCCAGCGATCGAGTCGTCTTCTTCTCAATACTTCAATATGCTCCCAACCTATGAGCTTAACTGATTCTGGTTATCTTGTGATGTGCCAAGTGCACAAACGATGAGCAAGAAAAACTAAAGCCGCGAAACCTAACATCATCACTCCAAAATTAACAACATTTCCTCTGAATGACGTTACCTTTAGAGTGGATAGATTTTCTGGCTTCGTTGTTCATGACGTGGACATATGCAGAGGCTAGCAACGAGATATATGAATCGGGTTTGGCTATAAAGCGTTCGCTACAGAGTCGTAGATGTCCTACAGGAATACAGAAAACGAACATCTACACAACTTATCCCAGAAAATGTGACGTGTTTCTTGATGAAAACCGGGATAGATACTTGCGGTTACTGAAGCAACATCAGGCTGGTTACATCCTTACGCCAGGTGGCATTGCAAAGGAATATGATCTTGTGAAACCAACGCATAGCGCCTAGTAAGAACGTTGGAAAAAGCAAAACCGAAGATGCGAATGTTCCAGTCACAATTGCGGTTAAGCAGTTAGGCACCGAACATAAATCATGAGCCGAATGTTCTGGCAAAATGATTTTTGCACTCAGAGGAGGAAATAATTGATCAACTTCTCTGAAAATATGTGAGATGAGGCGGAACATTTGGCGAACAGGTTGAAATGTATGGTTGGTTTAGTGCGCTGATGGAGAACATAAAAACAGGGATGAGACAAACTACAGTTTCCTACCACCCACATTCAAGTTGAATTTCACACTGCCAAGGGTAGGAGTAGTAGCTTACAGAAAGACTTAAGTTATAAAACCTTCTACGCTCTCTAACCAGAAGCTCAAAATTATCATGATGCGTTTATGGAAAAGGGTAGCCAGTTTGTGAGGCTGTGCTTTCCTGAGGGTTTAGCAGGAGAAAGAAGTGAAAGAATGTATTTGAACAGGCCGCTAACCCTCAGCCCCATTGTGAAACCTACTATAAAATAAGACCATAAATCACCATTAGATATTTTCTTGTGGCCCAACTTTCACACTCATTGTACGATGCCAGCCTTTTACATACCTTGAATGCGATCCTGAGGAGAAGAAACCTCCAAGTAATGCAATCGTCGAGTAATGCAAAATACAACGTATGGGAAACTTACCGTCGGCAATTCACAATTACCGTGGAAATTTAAATAACACGCGCCCTTTGCAGGCATTTACGTGCGGCCAATAGTGGTAATTACCGGACTCCCTCCTCCTCCACGCTCGCTCCCCCTATAGAGATTGATAAGGCACTGGCCTCCTAATTGTTGCTTGCTTTTCCTTGCCACTTTTATCTTTTTAAAATAGGTATAAACAGCAGGATTTATTGAAATACATAAATTTGGTGCCTTCTTCTCTGCCGCATCTTGTGGCCGCTTGAAGAAGATAATGACATAGAACAGTTGGGAATTTCACAGAATTAATGGCATAACAGTAGAGAACGTCGTTCAGTGCAAGGACAACTGGCAGCCAGGGCCGCTGAGCACTTGCCCAACTGGCTTTTCAAGAAGATGGAGTACCACGGTCCTCTGTTACCAATCATCTACTACATAGCGGCCATCCTGTCGACGTTAAAACAACATTTCGAGTACTTGTTCAGGCCCCAGCAAACCCAAACCTGCGCTATTTGCAAGCTGCTTACATGCGGTGGGAGAAACCCGACCTATGCAAGCAGCTTGGCCATGAGGTCAACCGCCAATTGCTATGGTAACTGGTCATTTAATTCCAAAGTGTTTTTCGTTATATTCCTTCACCCACTACTTCCCATCCATCGACTCAACGCACTGTATTTATCGATTATTTTTACACTGAGCAACGTGCCTTGCTGTTAGGCCATTAATTCTGTGAAAATCCCAACTGTCATTTTTTCTCCTCGTTAGCTTCGTCATGCAGAGACAAGATGCATCTGAGAAGCTGTCACGAAATTTACGGATATCAATAAATCCTGCCGTTTATACCTGCTTTAAATTTATGCCGGGGAAGAAATGCTAATAGCTATGACGATGGACACCCACAAGAGTCCATAGCTCAGACAAATAAAATTAGGATTCTGGTGAGCGATACGTCTTCTTCTTCTGAATCTCTATGTTTACTTGGGATGCAAAAGCTTGCCCCAATTTATGAGAAGGATGGTCGTTGCTCAAAAAAGCTGCAGCGTCTGAGTTTCCGCACTGTGTCACCTAGATAAACGTATTCAGACGGAAACCTTAGAATGGGAAGAGATCTTGATGACATGATTTTAGTTTTCCCTTGAACGAGCAATCCTGCACATGGTCCGCTGTCTCCAGCATTTCTTTATCAGAAGGATATATCTAACGAACCTCTGTGTCGGGAAGTGGGTGTCTAGTATTTGCTTCGGTCGAGAAGGACTATAGATGTTTCACCCTTCCCAATTTCTGTGCAAGGCTGGCTGTACTATGCGACTGGTGTTCACAGGGCTATTGCGTGTAGGACTTGTAAAGAGAGCGAGATATGCTTTAGTTTGAAAATATAATTCCAAAATTGTCAGCAGATAACTTCCTCCATTCAAAAGGACTAAAATTAGGCGCAGAAACTGACAACATTGGAAAAGCAAAGTGATGCATAATCGCCAAGGTCTGCAAGTTTGGACATCATGGGTATAGGTCCTTAGAAAATTCGTAGAATATAGGCCAAATTGTACTTCTTTCAAAACGACGCTAGCGCCGTGACCTCGTGCAATGATGAACTCATTGTAGTGTAAATAAATA